AGGTCTGCCCTTGCTCCCCGTCCACGGCCTTCATGCGTGCAGCGCGCTGCTCCCCTGCACCTGCTCTTCTGTTGTGTCCCCCTTCTTAGCTCTTCTCCATCCTCCCCATTATTCTCCATTCAGCATGAAAATGACCTTCCTAAAGCAAAAACCCGATCGTGCCTGCCTAGTCCCAGGCTCCACGGTGCCACCCAGCTCCTACTCCCCCGGGACTCACTCCTGCTCGGTTGCCTTCCCTGGACCTCCCTGGCTGGAGCCATCGCTCTGGCTGGGTGAAGGTCGTCCAAGGCCTGGGCTCACGGCCATGCACTTGAACAAGGAGTTTAACTGCAGGACCTCACCTATAAAATGTCAGCAGGAGGACTGCAGGAGATAGTAAAGGTGCGGGACACCTTTATACATTAAAGTTTCAACAGGGACAGGTCCCGGCTCTGTAAATAATTAATGATTATTAAAAAGAAGGAAAAAATCCTTCCTCACCTTGCCAAATTCTCTCCTGTCCCAGTGAGTTTCCACTTCGATATCTTTCGCAGAGCCCCTCTTCCTGGCTGACTTGCTATATGGGGGCAAAAGGCCAGGTCCTACATGAAGCCTTTCAACTCTACTTTCTTGGGGACCTGATTCACACGGCATTGCTTTGTAGTGTGCATTCCTTTCCTTTGGCTGCAGTGACAAATCGCCATAAACAGGACAGCTCCAGGTGACAGCAGCTGCTTCACCGCTGGTTGGGAGGTCAGAAGTGGGAAATCTGTCTTGTGCTAAAGCCGGATGTCAGCAGGGTGCTGCTCCCCAGATTCCCCCGGGGGGAAACCTGCTCCCTAACTCTTCCAGCTTCTGGGGGTGCCTGGCACTCTGGTCCATGGCCTCACGTCACCCCAGTTTTGGTTTCTGGTCACATTTTCTTTTGCTCTCAGAAGAACCTCTGTGAATGTACTGAGGAAGCCTGGGTAATGCGGGCTGCTCTTCCTAGCACCAATTCCTAATTTAAAAGTTCTGCAAAACCCTTTCCAGGGCTGGTGAGATGGCTCAGTGGTCTAAAGCACCTATTTAGAACAAGCTTAGCAAAGCACAGGGACCCGCATTTCAATCCCCAGCACCACATGCCAGCCAGCCCTGCCCCCAGGTGGGCTGAGCTGGCCACACACACATACACACAAAAAATAAATAAATAAATAAAAAAATTTAAAAAAAAAAAAAATTTAAAAAAAAAAAAAACCTTTCCAGCCACGCCTGTTGTAACATTCGCAGGTTCCAGGGAAGGCAACCGGGAGCCTCCAGAGCCATTCTTCGGCTACTTCGTTGCTGTTGCTGATGCTTTTCACCTTTGCGGACTAGGGTGGATCCCAGGGAGAGCACACACACACACACTCAATCAGCGGAACGCACACAGGCACAGCGCAGGTGCAGCCCCGTCCACTCCCCACAAAGCTCTTCCTTGCTAAGGCTTTATTTCCCCGGCTCATGCCCAGCGCTGCTTCCTCCAGGTGCTAATCTGAATTTGGAAGGGCATTTCGCTCCTGCATATGATCAACCTCTAGGCCGCAGACACGGGCCCGCATCTCCTGTGGGGCTTTCTGCGCGTCACCAGCAGGGTGTGGGGAGCCAGGGCCGCTGGCAGCGCAAAGGCTCCTCTCACGGAATGCGAGCCCAGGGTGGCATGGTGTCAAGAATGAGCCTCAAGAAGAGCGCTGTCACCAGGCTGCCCTGGCGGCCAGGCTGCCATCCCCACGCTGCTTATTTTAAACACAGCTTTCCCAGTCACCGTCACCGGAGCTCCTAAATCCAGGGCGACTGCCTCAGCGGCTGTGTCCCCGGCTCAAGTCACTTAAGTTCAGCCCCAGGATTTTTTCCAGGCCAACTGCTTTCCCAGATTCCTAGGACTGCCGGCCATTGCCACCTGCGAGAGGAGGGTGCCACACCCCACTGCTCAGGAAGGCAACTCTGGCTGCTCCTCAGCTGCAGCAATCTGTCCCAGTAAAAGGAAACGAAGAAGAAAATAAAACTACTTGCAATCTTAAACAAAATAAATAAGTTGATTACTACAAAATAAATAAGTTGATTACTTTGGACAATGAGTGCTTAAAAGAGTAAACTGTCTACCATATCATAAGCCATATGTTATCTGCTAACTTTGTTTTGCTATGTTTTTTGAGACAGAACTTGCTGGATAACCCAGGCTTGCCCTTGAACTCACAGCAATCTTCCTGCCTCAGTTTCCTGAGTGCTGGGACTGTATGTATGCACCACCATATCCAGCTGTTTGTTTACCTCTATATTTTTTTTCATCTCTGCTAGAGCCCCCCCCCAAAATCAGAATGTTAAAAGGCAAAACTATAGAGTCCAAATGTATCCAAGACTCACGTAGGTGTGCTGTTGACATCAGAAGCTTCCAGGAGCTTGCCCAGGGTGGGGAGGCGGTTTCCATTACTCAGCCAAGCCCAAAGCCCAAAGTCTCAGCGTGCTCTCGGGTACTGTAATGAAACCCCCAAGGCTCAGTAATTTAGACAGGGGTTTATTTAGCTCACAGACCCGCCTGGCAAAAGCCTAGCACCAGGATGGCATGACTTCTGGTGTGCTGGCCCAAACATGCAGAGAAGCGGGTTGGGCAGTAGTGACTGATGCGTGAGGTTCCACGGCCAGGAAGGGCAGGGGGGCTCAGGCTTCTGGAGAACACCCTCTCTCAGGGCATGGAGCTCTGTGGAGAGAGTCTGGGCTTACAGTGTGCACCCCCTAGAGCCCCTCTTGGCATGGGCCTCCCCTTCTTAATCACCTCCCTGAGGCCCCAGCACTGCCACACTGCGTCTGGCTTTGGTCTGAGTCTTGGTGGGGACAGATTACCCCACACCGTGACACTCAACCCACACTTCTTCCTACACCTGCTGGCTCAGTCTCATCCTGGTTGGTCCCTCCTGGTCATTCCGCATCTGAGGCTTTTACGTCGGGCAGACTTCTTCCAGGCCCCAGAACTCTTCAGGCTGTTTCTCTGCTCCCCTGTGTGTCTTCTCACCGGGCTGGATCATGATGTCCTCTGGATCTTGGGGCCAACGTGCTGCTTTGTGTGGGGGCTGCGAACATCTGTGCTGGGGTATAATCCGACTGACGCCTGCTCCCCGATTACTGCACCACAGGGGCAAGAGTGAGTCAGCTGTCGTTACCTTCATATTTCCATCCCTTCCCGCTGTTCCTAAAACACCAAGTAAGCACCTAATAAATATTTGTAGGTCGCATGAATACATCACAGGCTCTCAGGCTGGTTGCACTCTGCACTGCCAGGCAAGTCATTCGCCCTCGTGATGTCTCACCTTCCTCACTGGTGAGAAAATGCTTCCTCCGTTCCAAAAATTCTAGGGTATTTATGGCTCCTGTCTTGAACACACGAGGCCAGTGAGGCAGAGCCAGAGCATTGGCACTGTTCGATGTCTGCCTGCCTTGCATCTTCCAGGGACAGAAACTGCGCTATATGCCCCAGCATAATTGCGGACATCACCTGTCTTTCTGCCTGATGTCCCTGCCTTGATTTCTTTGCTTTGGTTCCTGAGACAGGGCCTTAAACTTGCCGACCTCGAGATGTGACTCCGCTTTCTGGTAGCCCCGCCCTCTGAGATCTGCTCCGCCCCGTCTGGGTTACTTTTCTTTCACTGCTGCAACAAAATACCCGACACTCAAAATTAAAGAAGGAAAGGTTTATTTAGCTCACAGTGCGTGGAGGTTTCAGTCCCTACTCAGCTGGCTCCAAGGCAGAGCGGCACATGGCAGAGGGTAGCCGTTCATGGTGGCAGAAAACAGCAAAGAGCAAGGGAAAAGCAGCAGGTGCAGCTACAGAGAAAGAGCAAGCCTCTCTCCCCTCCTTACACTGCATCCAGGCTGCCTGCCCCAGGGCAAGTGCAGCACTCACACCCACGATCCCAGCAGCACTCACACCCATGATCCCAGCAATGGCTCATGAATTAATCACAACCTCTAGAAATCCAACCACGACTACATGAGGCTTTGAGAGGACAACTAGACAGAAACAACTAGACACTCTCAGCTCTCCCTGACTGTACCTGTCTCTACCAGGGACATTCTTCTCCCTCCTCCAGTTGTAAACTCCTGTCCAACCTTTGCGTTCAGCCAGAACAAATGTCATCTGCCTGAATCATTCCAGGCCTGAACTGGTGACTGATTGCCTGTAATCCCACTGAATAATCTGTGTAGCCACCACAGTGAGCTGTGTTGTTTTGCCAGAAGACACCACAACACAAAGCTGTTGCGGCTCCAAAGCAAAGCAAACTTTCAAACCAAATTCTGCCATTTACTGCGTAGCTTTGGAAATCATTCTTCCTGAATCTTAGTTTCTTAATGTTAGAACAGAAGTGGTAACTCACTGGGGTGTTGGAGTGTTAAGCAAAACAAGGAAGGTTGCATCGGAGTGCAGGGACTGCTCTAAGAACCAGGGGCTCTGTGGCCCTTCTTTTGGCCCGGGCCCAGTCAGCCTAGACTTCTTAGAATGCGTCAGTGAAATCATACCCACGATGACCTTTCCCTGGCGGAGGGCTAGAGGCTGATTCATTTTGCCTTTAATAAAGGAATTGTGCCGAAGAGCCAAGAATTCCACCAATCCGGCTCTGTTCTCCAAAACGCAGACATCTTTCCCTTGGCCGGGTCAGCCCTGAACTTCAACGGCTGGTTTGCGGTCAGGGACCTTTCTGCCAAATTCTCTTCACACTTTCAGCCTCCTCTGCGTGCTTGTCTGTTCCAGCCTTTCTCGGGCTACCTGGCACAATGCGGACTCTGTTCTTTCTCCTGTGAGCTACAGAGGCAGGCTAGTGTGCAGAGTTTATCAGCATAACTAGGCATTGTTTTAGCTTCTCTTGACCTCACTCAAGTGCCTTTTCTGAGATCGGGGCGGGCGGCCAAGCCCAAGCAAACCACGCACAGTCGGGCTCGGGAGGCGTCCGGCCACCGCCTGGCCCCGACCCCTGAGCACAACCCACATCTCCGGATGCCAGCTCGCGGCGCCGCGGTCCGCAGAGGCCGGGAGCGCGGCCGCGGCGCATTTCCTCTTCCGTGCGCGCAGCTCACGTCCACCAGGGGGGCCAGCGGCGCTCTAGCGGGTGACAAGCCCGGGCTCGCGCACTTTAACCCGCACCACCCCAAACTTTCTGGCAGGTCCCACGTCTGTAAGTCCCCTTGGTGCTCCGGGGTGGCTCTCCTAGGAGAGTGGCGAGGTCGTAGGAGCGCACAGGGAGGAAAGACGGTCTCGGTCCGCTTCTGAGCGCCTAGGGCGGAAGCCCTCGCACCCCTGGCCCCTGCACCCCGCTGCGCGCACCCGGGGACGAGCGGAGACCGCGGCGCCCGGAGCTGAGCTGAGCGCGGGAGCGCGGCCCGGCCTCCTCCCCCTCCCTCCCCTCCCACTCGGGCGCGCGCGGGCGGGGCCGTCCCTTCCGGGGCGCCACCGCTCCCACCCCCTGCAGCCGCTGACGGTGACGCGCGGGAGCCGCAGCCGGGCGCCGTCGCCACCATGCGGGCCGAGGGCCGCGGCGGCCTTGAGCGCTTCTGCAGCCCGGGAAAGGGCCGGGGGCTGCGCGCCCTGCAGCCCTTCCAGATGGGCGAGTTGCTCTTCGCCTGCCCGGCCTACGCCTGCGTGCTCACGGTGGGCGAACGCGGCGGCCACTGCGAGCACTGCTTCGCCAGGTAAGGACCGGGCTGCGGCGCCGGGGCCGGGGAGGGCCGGGGGAGGGGCCCGAGGAGGGGCGCGGCAGTGTGCGCGGGAGGAGGCGCGGAAGCCGCCGCGCGCTGGGCCCCGCGTGGTCTGGTCCTACCCTGTCACCCCGGGGCTGAGCGACCAGATCTGCAAGATCCCGACCAGCTGCGGCCCGGGCCTTATGGGGCGACGGAGGTGGGGTGGGGTGGGGGTGGGCATTTGGTGGTAGTGGGCGGCCGCTGCGAAGGGTGCTTAGAAAAGCAGTGGCCCGGGCGGGAGCGGGCGGGGCATGGGGCGTGATGCGCGGCTGAGAAGGCGTTTCGTGGTAACAAGCTGTGTTCCCCTGTGTCTCAGTCACAGGTAGCATGTATCCATAGAAAGTCCCACACACGGAGTTGTGTCAGTTTCAGAGTGAAAAGCAAGCACTCTTCCAACCCAGCTCCGTTCATTCTGCGCAGGACAGCACTAAAGTGGACGGGAAGTGTAGTTGCAGTTTTGTTTTGCCGGAGACAGTGTTCCCCTAGGTGGTTTAGGCCAGTCTTGAACGCACAATGTGAGTCAGAGCGATCCTCCAGCCTCAGCCGCCAAGCACCTGGTTGTACTGTTCATTAGGCGCAGAAGGCCAGGCTGGGTGCTGCCTTTGACACCTGGCTAGGTGCACAGTAAATCCACCAAGGTGGGGTTGGTGCCTGGCCACCACTGCTGGCTGGGAAGGGACCTTGCCAACCCTAGCCCTGACGCTAGCTGTCCCTCTGAACCTCAGTTTTTCATCTTTGCAGTGGAGCTTTCTGGGCTAGCTGAGGTCTGGAGTGAAGCCTCCGCTGAGGCACTGTCTCTGGGACCTGCGCGCCTGGTTCTACAGTTAAGACCCAGCAAAGGAAGGGACAAAGGCTGAATACGCTACGGTAGTAATCTTGCCCGGACTCCCTGCCAGAACTGCCTTCCGCTTGGGGGGAACCTGGAAAGGAACTCAACACAGAATCATGCCGTGGGCAGCCGAAGGGCTGTATGTGATGTGGCTCTTTGAATTGGTGAGCCAGGAGCTAAAGGGTCATGGCACCACTTTGCGACGTTTGAGTGAAGTGAGCATTGGGTTTTCCCAAAGTTAAAAAGGCTGCTGCGACTGGTCCCTTGATCTTCTGAGCCTCGCTGTGGCTGGGAGTCTGCGGCAGCGTGGGTGTCTGCTTGCAGGAGTGGAGCAGGTCACCCAGCTCGGAAGGGGCCTCGGCGGGGGTCTAGAGACACCTGGAGGCCACCAAGGGAGGGAGTGTGTGGTGGGCGCATAGTAGGGATGCAGGTGGCCTTGGAAGTCCTGTGCTCTGATGAGTCAGAGATCATTAAATCTCTGGCTAAAGCCAGAGAGGTTCTGAGCGGTGCTTCTCTTCCCCTGTCTTTACAGTGTCTGCTGCACACCCCAACCTTGGCATGTTACCGTCACTTGGCAGGTTCATAGATCATTCTGCCTCCGTTGTCCTGCCATATGTGACAAAGTTTTCCCTCTCTTATTATGTCTTTGCATTTTTCGGATTGATGTGCATTGGCCCCTTCCGGGGCTCTGTGCTCCTGTCTGCCTGGTCCCCTGAGCTTCAGGTTCTTGCCAGCATACAGCTGCAGTTGGCTAAAGATACAGGAGGGCCACTCCTGAGATGCCTGCTTCCAGAAATAGCTTCCTGCCCCATTCTGATTTCCGTCAAATCTGATTAGTTGGGGCTGTTTAAATAGATGTGACAGGGGCCTGGCCTTAGCTCAGTTGTTTAAGTGGCTGCTTCCACAAAGCTGTCAGCCTCAGGTTGCTGTAGTTCGATCCCCACAACTCTCCAGCCAGCCAAACCAGCCATGAGGGCATTCTGAGCAAAAAAAAAAAAAAAAACCTTATAAATAGATGTGACACCTGCCTCTTGGTCACCTACATGTGTTTGACTGGGGAGATGTGAGGCGGTGCAGCTATAGTGGGGATCTTGGGGTGCCCTCACCCCAAGGCCTCTGAGAAGAAGCAGAATCCTCCACATGCAGGTACAGGCCGGCCACCTCCACCGCCTCTCCCAGAGCGGCAGGTCCAGTGACAGGCTGTTCCTTTCTTTCCTGGGCCAGAAGTTTAAACAGTAGCGCCTCAGATAAATGAACCCCCTGAGATTGCCAAAGTTGTAAGATTGTGTCTGAATTTTACTCATTTTGAACAGGGAAAATGATTTCTTCATAAGTAAGAGTATTTTGTAAACTAAAAATAGTGGGAAATTTCTTAGCTAGCTATAGAAGCCACTTGTTACTGCCAGGACAGGTCAAAGACTTGTTTCCTGGAGGAGTAAGTTCGTAGTGCTTTTTCCTTGCGGGGCAGACAACGGCTGGGCAATGTGTATCTTATCCCAGCTGCTCGGCGGGAGCTTCGGGAACTGCAAATGTCCACCCATGTTGTGGCGCACGCGTGTAAATCCAGCTGTGCAGAGGCTGAGATAGCAGGACGGCCATGAGTTCCAGGCCAGCCTGGGCTACACAGTGAAATCTTGTCTCAAAAGTTAATTAATTGATGAAATTAAAGATAGGCATCTCAGTTGGAGTTGTCCCTGCCAGGGGGATGTCCTTCTTAGGTACATTTTAACATGCAGACACTTGTCTGTGTGCACATCTTGGCCATTTAGGAGCTTCCTGTGGCAAGATTTTAAAGACACAGAGATACATTTCAGAGTCAGAGAATGACCCATTTGAACACTTGGTGTCATTTGCCTGGAAAGGGATAAACCCTGCTGTTGCCCAGACTTCGTCTGAATATTCCTCTTGCACTGCATGGATCCCAGGCCAGCCCATGTCCCTCCTGCCCCCGGCCTTATTCTCTGGGCTCAAGAGTGTAGTTTTGCTGGTCTTGCTGACTGTGAGCCAGGGGACACCTCAGGCCCAAAGGGGTTCCTTTGGGGTCAAGCTGGGAGAACCCGGTTTCGGTGAGTCTCTATTCTGTCTGGTTCATTTAGAGTGGTTATTTTAAAAGCTGAACTGTTTCATATGAGCAGAACACTGTGATTCATTCAGGACATTCAGATGTCCTGTTGTAAGCAGTTGAGTTTTTTTTTCCCTTAGTGTCCTCTAGATTTATTCTTTAGCAATGCTCATCTTGTCTTTCCTATTGTTCCAGCCTGGCAAAATAATCTTTAGTTGATCTTAATCAATATTGAGAGCCAAGAAATATTTTGTTTTGTTTTTGAAACAAATTCTTGCTGTGTGGTTCAGGCCAGCCTTGAACTCACGGCAGTGCTGCTGCCTCAGCCTTCCGTTTCTTAAACTTCTCTGGAAGAGCCTTGGTCCTAGCCGCCACAGCTGTGCTTGGGAAAAAGACGTTCTCTGCAGAGCTGCTGTGATCCCAGTAGTTAGCAAAACATCCTCTTAGGACTGTGGGGAGACATGACCAAAAGCTTCATTTTTCTAAGTGAAAAATTGGACAGGGGCATGAATAGGCAGCCCCACCCCAGGTATAAAATGCACAGAAGAGTCGAACACACACAACACAGCTGGGTATGGTGGCACAGGCCTGTAATCCCAGTACCCGAGGGGGCTAAGACAGGAGGATCACAAGTTCAGTGCGGCCTGTGCTACTTAGCAGAGTAGTGAGACTCCCACTCCCAAATAAAATACAACAGAAAAAGAGAGCCGGGGATGTATCTCGGTGTGGGTGTGGCTTGGGCCTTGGATTCCATCCTCGGTGCCACAAAAGCAAATCCAAATAAAAGCATACCCACTTTCTCTAAAAGGTTACGTTAAAAGAGTACGGGAGTCAGCTGTCCTTGTTTCCTGGGATTAAATGCTGTGGTTTCTGAGACACAGTTGTAGGATGCAGCTCGGGTAGGGGTGCTGGAAGGAGTCGCCCCGACAGGCCCCCTGGCCAGAGCTAACCCAGCTCCCTCCGCTGTGGATCCCTGGATGATAATCATCATAGGGCTCCCAGGTCTGTTTTCGGTGTTTATTCAACACGTGGCCGAGCTGTGGCCACAGACACACAGATTATGACCTAACTCCAAAGCACTCTCTTAACATGAGATGAAGCATATATTTTAAAGCCTAAATGGAAGAAAACACAATTCTCTTTTCTCTTTTGGTTTTTTGAGACGGGGTCTTGCTGTGCAGTCCAGGCTGGGCTTGAACTCACAGTGATCCTCCTGCTTCAGCTTCCTGCCTGCTCCGATTATGAGCGTGTGTGCCACCACGCCCCACTCAGATTTTCCACCTAGGATATTGACTCCTCACTCGGCTTTACCTCCCGTGTGGGTCTTTGAACGATAGCAGAGATCTGACCTTTAAGACTTCAAATGGAGCTGCAGCCGAGGCTTCTCCGTATGCAGGGAATATAATTTCCATTCCGGTTTACGGGGGCCCAGGGACAGACGAGCCTCAGGTTTGGAAGTGATTTCAGATGAAAGGGTTAGCAGCACCAGCAGGTTGTCCTGAAGAGTTAGAGCCCCGGCCGACAGCTTTCCCTTGCAAAAGCGAGGCGCAGAATTCTCTCCATCAGAAAAATCTGAAGACCCTCAGAAAAGGACATCCCTTTCAGTCGCGTCGCTCTCTGCAGCCCATAAAGCACTTGTAGATACGCTCTTATTTTGATCCTGCCGAGGATGGCTGGTGTAGACAGAGCCTTGTCCCATTTTACGTAGGAAAAAATGAGGGGTCCAGAGACGAAGCCATTTTCCTCTCGCCTGTCTCTGGCTTTGGTCATATATTTATTGAATGGCCCTAAGAGCCTGGCTTTGTGACCTGCAGGGACCAACCCCCATCTTCTTCCTCTGAGACTTGCTTCCTGTGCCGCTTGCAGCCTGGAGCTGCTGAGTGCTTCTCCTGGGACTTAGTGTACCCACTCCTATGGCTTTCTCGCCACACCTGGAGGATTTGGCCTGTCTCACGCCTTCCTGAGTGAATGCGGTTTTGTTTCATTTTGCTTTGCTTTTTTGAGACTGGGTCTTGCTCTGTAGTCTGTGCTGTCCTTATTGACCTCCAACTCGTGGCGCTC